GAGCACTCTACCGCTGAGCCACAACCCCAGCACTTATTCTTATTTTTTTGCAGTAGTAGGGACTGAACTCAAGGGCACTTTACTGCTGAACTATATCCCCAACCCTTTTATTTATTTTTTTATTTTGAAATAGGTTCTCCATAAATTGTCTAGGATGATCTCAAATTTGCAGTCCTCTTGCTTTAACCTCCTGAATCACTGGGATCACAGGCCTGCACCACTGTGCCCAACTCTATAAACTTATTTTTTCTTCATGACACTATCTGATGAATGACCTCACCAGCTCCTTCATTCACTAATTCACTCAATTAATTTAAAAAATTTTACTAAAGGCCGTCCATATGCCAGGCACTGTACCAGGAACCAGGTAAAAAGAGAAAAGGACAGACAAGCTCTCTGCCTTCTGTGGAGGTTAACGAAATGTAAACATAAATACATATATATTTTAACATTTCTAAATTAGTAAGTTTATTGAGGAACTGGTGCTAAGACAGAGACTAGCAAGCAAGATCCTGTTTTGGATAGTATGTTAGGATAGGAGATGACAGTTAAGCTGTTATCCAAATGATGAGAAAGCTAGCTAGACAAAGAGAGAAGATGGAGAGAAAAAGTGGAGAGAAAAAGCATATGAATTGCACTTACAAAAGCCCAGAGGCAGGAATGACTTTGCTGTGGCAGGCAAAGCAGAGTGGTATGATACAGGATTGGACAAGTAGAGGGTGCCAGAGCAATGAGAGCCCTATAAGCCTTTGCAGAGTGTTTAGAGGCTTTAGAGAGCAATTCAAGAATTGTAAATGGCAGCAACTTGATATGATTCATGCTTTGAAATAAATCACTTAAAGAAAAAAAATCCATCCTGCTGGGTGTGGTAGCATACACCTGTAATCTCAGGGACTCAGGAGGCTGATGCAGGAGGATCTCAAGTGTAAAGCCAGCCTCAGCAACTTAGCAAGGTCCTAAGAAACTTAGCAAGACCCTGTCTCAAAATAAAAAATAAAAAGGGCTAGGAATGTGGCTCAGTGCTTAAGCATCCCTGAGTTCAATCACCAGAACTATAGGAAAAATTGTTCAGATGCTGTGAGGACAATTGATTGGAGGGGAAAGAATGGAGTTATTGCTATAACAAGTGACCAAAGATGATCTTAAGTAAATTGTAGTAGTAGAGATGGAGAGAAGTGTAGTTAAAACTTTGCACTTTAAGGGCTGGTGTTGTAACTCAGTGATAGATCACTTGCCTAGTGTGCAGGGTGTGCTAAATTCAATCCTCAGGGAAAAAAAAGAAAACTACTTTGGACTTTGCTTTTACCTTTGCTGAACTACATGCAATCAATCATGAACTCTTGCAGATTTCAACCTCTAGTTTCTCACACATGATTATTTCTCCATTCCTATTGACCCAACCCAGTTCCTTGTTACCTCTCATCTGCACGATTGCAGCAATCTCATTACTGAAATGATCTCAGCTTTCAATCTTGAGTTATTTCAATACAACCCACATATTTTCAACTACAAAATTCCCACCATAGTTTTATACTAGTCAAAACCTCCTTAAGACTTCAGTTTGGTAAGCAATGACCCCAATGTTTTAGGCCAATACTATACAGTTAAACCATAATATTTGCCTAATGCTTTTTCCATATCTATTCCTTTGTATGTTATTATATATTTATTTAGGTGCCGAGGATTGAACTCAGGGGCACTTCACCACTGAGTTACATCCCTATTCCCTACCCCCCCTTTTTTGGATTGAACCCAGGGATGTTTTTCCACTGAGCTACATCCCCAACCCTTTATTTTTAATTTGGGAACAGTCTCTCGCTAAATTGCTTAGAATCTCATTAAATTGCTGAGGCTGGCCTCGAACTTGCAATCCTTCTGTCTCAGCCTCCCAAGTCACTGAAATTACTGGCATGTGCCACTGCCTCGGGCTAAAAGGGTACTTTTAAGAAACCGATGTGATGGACAACTTTTTCAAGTGAGGCATCACTATTCCTTTCTCTTCTAGGCCAGTGGGTCGCTAAATCCTCTTGGGGCTGGTGTGGGGAGGGACGCTCAAACTACCAGAGTGGGTGGCAGGTGTGGAGTGGTTACCAGACCCTGAGAGGGCGGAACTTATTGCGTGCGGTGCTGTGGCCCTACGGACCTTAGCTAGTGAGGCACCCTCTGGCCCGGAAGGAGCTTACGGTGAGCTGGGGTCCGGCAGCCATAGCGCTTTGCAATTCGGCCTCAGAAAGTGTAGGGCCGACTCGGAGGAGGGAGTTACGTTCGTTCCAGTCTCAGGTGAGTGGCAGCCCCTGCGGACCGGCGGGCAGCAGCTGTGTACCCAGAAAGAAGGCGCACTTTAAAGCTTAGGTCCACCCTGGGCTCCTGCTGGTGGCCCTGAGATGAAGAGTCGCCAGTTCTTCGCCCGGAATCGGGCGTCTAGAGGGACGATGAGTCCGGACAGTGTTCTTCGGGGCCGCCCTGATGTCCCTCTGGGCAGGACCTGGCTGCTTTCGGGCGCTGTTATTTCAGGAAAGCGCGAGATGACAGCAGGCGAGCCCCTTCGTGGGCCCCAGTTTCCTCCCTTGGTAAGGCGAAGGCAGCGGGGATCATTGACAGCTGGAGAGGCTGTGACACGGCGTGTTGTTTTTAGCTTTTCCAGTTTGTCGAGGAGGCAAATCGAGCTTGCTTCCTGGCAGTAGTTCACATTTTGCCATAGCCAAGTCCCAGCTGAGTGGGAAAAAGATTCACTTTAGAAAGCCAAAGATTTACAAAGTGTTCAACATTTTTTTCCTACGAGATAGAAATTTGTTTTGAAACAGCTAAAACTCCGGTATCGTTAGTCGAAAGAACTACATTTGTCAGGAATTTAAGCTATTTGGTATATTGGGCAAAATGAGGTGGAGGAATCCATTTAACTTGAAAAATTAAGCCTACTATTGTTTGTTTTCGTGTTCTTACCTCAAGCTCTATGTTATCATGTTGTCTTATTCTGAAGAACTACGTTGAATGATAAAATGTCGGTTAAGAATCCCTCAAGTCATCTTGAATGAACCATACGTGGTGTCAGAAACCTATAATACCAAGTACTTGGGAGACTGAGACAGGAGGATTATGGGTTCAAGGCCAGCCTCAGCAATTTAGCAAGACCCTGTCTCAAAATAAAAAATAAAAAAGGACTGGGGATATGGCTCAGGGGTAAAATATGCCTAGGTTCAGTCCCCTTTGGGTGGGGAGGGGGAAAATGAGGGATATAAGAGGCATTGTAGCAGATGAAAAAGGAAAAAGAACATTTATTTACTTTCAACTATGTGTAAGGGGCTGGAATAGTCTGCCAAGGAAAGTAGTGGTATCATCTCTTTTTCAGATGAATAAAGGAAGATTTACAATTTGTTAGTAATTAGTGGTGACAGTATAGAAGAACAATGTGTATTTACTGTTGTATCTTTAAGTAGATTTGTGTTTGTCACCAGGATATTTTGAACTTTAAAAATTCAAAGGCAGCCATGCTAGGTGGCTTGGGCCTGTATGAGTAGGTACTCAGGGAGCTGAGATGGGAGGATCAGTTGAGCCTAGGAGTTGGAGGCCAGCCTGGCATCATAGCAAAACCCTATCTCAAGAAAAAAAATTTAAGATGTTCATTGGCAGTTTCTGAGTTTGCAGAAAAGGAAAGTGTCTTCATTTCATAAATGTTAGAGAAGCTGTGTAATTATGAAGGTTAGCAGTTTAAATATGGTGCATTTTAACCTTCTTTTGCCTTGTACTATTGTGCTAGAGTAGTAATTCAAGCAAAACTTGACACGAAAGATTAGTCTATCACAAATTGAAATCACAGCCACATCATTTCAAGCTTACAAACTAGAATTCTATAGTAATGATTCATCATTTCTCCACCCCTTTCTTTAAGTACACAATTGACTAAAACTCTTTAAATTATTTAATTTCTCAGCAGAATATTACCAAGCAAATAATCACAGTGTTGAAAGTTCTCTCTCTCTCTCTCT